TGTGGGGTAGCCAGCACAGGGGTCAGACCTGCTCTGCAGAAGCCAGACGGTGGCCAGGGAGGGCCCTGTGGGACCTACCATGCTTGCAGCCCCTGCCTTTCCTAGTCTGTATCTGAAGGAACGCTCCCTGACCATCTCCTATTGAAGGGCCCTCTGGACTCGGTCATTCTGTGTTTTCACTTTTTACCACAAATCATCCACAGAGGACAAACGGGTGTTGTGTATGTTTTTTTGTTTGTTTGTTTGTTTCCTCAACTTTACATTCGGAAATGATTAAGGGCTCTTTCAGGATTAGCCTAAGACATATTGTAATTTAATTTAGTTTTAATTTTAGTATTGCGTAAAAGAAAATTAAAAGATTATTTTTAGGATACCCAAAGGGTTGTAAAAAAGACTCAAAAAGGGTGACTGATTTCCAGGCAAGTTTCCCACAAGGTGACCTGATGGCCTAGGGTGACGTAGTGCATAGAAACACCAGGTGGTCAGAAGAGCTTACCCCTACACAGATCTGGCAGGGCCTGAGGGGCACAGTCCTCTGGGGGCCAGCTCACCAGCTAGGGACAGAAGGGTCTGCGTAGAGAGGGATGAGGCCAGGGACTGAGTCAGGACAGGCCCAGTGTGAGTCCTTCATGTACCAGGCACAGGGATCAAGAACAGAGACAATGAGAGCTAACATGGAAGAGAAGAGAAACCAGGGCCTGGAGAAGCAAGGAGCAAGGAGATTGTTGGAAAGAAAGGGCTCAGCTAAGACGTGTATGTCTGGGTAGAGGCAGCACCTGAGAGCGGGGACAGCAGCCCTAACCCCGGGCGGTGTTTCAAGCATGGGCTTGGTAGACAGCTCAGCTGGGGAACTGACCAGGAATCTGACATGGGGGAGGCTCACTCAACATGGGAACACCTTTTTGAAAAGAAAGAGTTAAGAGGGCAAGGTCAAGTTAAGGGTTGTGGGGGAGCCCAGAGAGGGTTCCACAGCACAGGGTAGAGGGGGAGGGGCTGACAGCACTGTGCACACTTAGAAGAGGCCTTGGGTGGTGCCACAGAGGGTCATGATGCCAGGAGGGAACTCCACTCCCTCAGCAGGTGGCAGAGATCAAAGGATGGAGCAGGTGATACAGGAAGCCCCCAGAGGAAGAGGGCACACTGCCACCAGACAACTGGACCTGCCATGGCCACGGAACGTGACTCCCTGAAGGCCACTGGGAACCAGCACAAATATGGATATGAACACAGGCTGGGAGTCCTGGCTCCAAGGGTGAGAACGGGTGAGCAGGTGTGAACTGTCACAGGTGTACATGGTGGGTGTACCTGCTCTTCACACACTGGTTGCTGACTGGGCCAAAGGGCAGTGGTGGCTAGGAAGCTACGTCCAGGTGTGTAGTTTGGGCTTTCTGCTTCAGGGAGAGGGCATACCTGCCAGGCCTAAAAGGGCACCTACCCTAAAGGGTAGCTCCTTCTCCATGGTGTTCTCCCCCCAAGTTTAGACACTTTAGGTTCCCTTCCCTGGTACCCGCAATGTTCACCTTAGCCCACCCCTTCCCGGCTCCCCTCACCCTGCCCTGCTCCACTCCCAGCCTGCTGGCTCCAAGGGACCCAGCCTGGCTCTAGGAATGAGTATCCATGGTTCCTCCTCAGAAACCTTTTGTAGACGACAGGGAAAGCAAGCCCCTGTTGCTTCCCAACAGGTGAGGGAAAAGCCCAGAAGCCCAGGGAGCCCAGCTCTTACATGATGATGGTAGCCAAGTGGTTCATTTCTTAGTAAAGCTGATTCTTCCCTTTGGACAGGGCATCCCAGCGAGCGCACACCCCCACGCTGCCCTTGCCAGCTGTTCACAAGCCTTTATGGGAGGTATACCCATCCTCCACTCCACTGCCGTCCCTGCCCGGGAGGGGTAGGAGGAAAGCACTGCTTTGCTTGCCTTTCCTCTCCAGGGCCAGGCACACAGTGGATAGCCTACCAATAATCCAGAAGGAGCAGTGCCCTAAGCCAGCCAAAAAGCCTTCCCATCCAGACACTGGACTCTTTGTTAGGGATTGGGGGGTGGGGTGGGGGGAGACAGGAGCCAACCCACCTGTTCCCTCCCCCAGGTCCGAATGAAAGAGATGCTTCCTGGCCCATGGAATCTGGAACCTACTCATGTCGACAGCTGCAGCCGCCACCTACAAACACCAGCTTGATGGCTCTAAGCTTGGACATCAGACACCCCTCCACCAGGCCTGAGGTCCACGGTGAACCCAGAGCTGATCTTGTAACCAGGGCCTGGGCACCCCCTCATTCAGCACCCACCAACACCTCCCCTGAGCCCACGCCCCACGCCTGTGATGGCAGCTGCTCACAGGGCCACGGGAGGCAGTGATATTATATATTATGACAAACAGGGGCAGCCCACTGACAAATAGGCCTGCGTGATCTAAACGGTATATTATCCCATAAAAACGTCATCAGGCAGAGCGTCGGAGCCAAAGCAGAGTGCCGTCCCATGCCGGAGGCCCTTCGAGGCCTTGCTCCTTCCCAGCACGGCAAGGCTTCAAGCCGATTTCCTCGGCGGTCCATGCTGCTTGTGATTCTGCTTTTTGCTTGTTACACCATGTCTGTTGGGGAGGGGAATGAGGTCCCAGAGGTTAATGGGGACCAGGAACCCCAGGGGAGACGTTCCCTGGCAGGCAAAGGGGTTGGACATGGGACAGAGCAAGTCACCTAATTTGCCAAAGAGGCATGGCACGTGCTTTGAATTCTGAAGCTAGTTCACAGCTTGTCGGCAGACTCAGGAGTCGGCAGACTCAGGAGACACACACACCCAACCTGGAGGCCTCCTGGGCAGGCCACCTCCCCTGCAGGAACAGGGGCTTCAGAATCTTTGGACAAAGCTCCAGGGGCCTGCCTGCCTGCCACAGGACCTGAGGCAGCTGTGTCCTGAGCTTCTTTGGGAAACCTCCAGAGTCTTTCTTGTCCATAATGCAGAAAGGCGTTTCCTCCAGGACTGCCCAGGCCCTGAAGGACACTGACATGGGCTGAGCTGGGGCAGGGGTGAGGAGGCAAGAACACCCTTGGGACTTTGACCTCTACAACCAAGGCAGCTAGCTGCACAGGATGCAGGGACAAGACAGCATATCCCATTGTGGGTGCGTATATTCAGATGTCTGTGGTGAAGAGGAAGGCTGCAGAACCCCAGGGACCCCAGAGGAAGAAGGGCAAGGAGGCACTGGGTTGACCGGAAAGTCGCGAATATCATCTGTGGTTGGGAATTCCCAGAGCAGGGACCCAGGCTCAGAGTTGGGCACTAGACCAAGGCATTCTGGGAAATGTAGTCCTTGGGGAGTTAGAGGGTCAGCAGGATGGGGACTTGGGGTAGTTATGGAAAAAAAGAGAGCTAAGGCTGCCACCCTGGTGCTAACTTCAGAGTGGAAGTTTAAAATGCCAGGGGAAAGGAAACAGACACTTAAAATCAGAGCCTAACTACACATGTTTTTTTTTTTTTTTTTTCTGAACAAGAAGTCCTGGCCCTTTTATTTTGGTGGGGGAGACCTCCTCAGAGAGGAGGGTCCCAACTGAATCTCACAAGTAGAAAGAAGCATTCATTTCCCACAAACCTTTCCTCCTCTGGCTAGGGCCTCCAGACACAGGGTGGGGGGCCGTTGAGTTGGGGGGTGACCTCCCCTGCGAGAGCCGGTGAGCATCCCGAAGCTCCCAAGTTATTTATGTTCACAGCCTGCCCTGATGACATATGTAAGTTGACAGGGAACATCCTATCAACTTGCTGGAGTGTATCTTGATTGTTAAAACACACTCTTAAAGGTGTACAACCATTTATCAAATTAAAATAGCCAAGCTTTGCTTGCTCCTTCTCTGTCTTCCTGGAAGAACCCCAAGCAGCCTCCTGTCTCCTCTGGCCTCCTGTATTAGCACTGGGCTCTGCTCCTCAGAGACCCTGCCCCTGATGCCTGGGACCCTGGCCTCAGCACACCCTCCCCTGCCCCAGGCCAGGGCAAGCCCACTAATCGCCAAGAAGTGACAAACGCCAGAAGCCCCACCAATTAAATTTAAACTCACGCAAAGCTCAGTGGCTAGTAAATTATTATTTTTATTAGCTTGAACCAAGTTCCCGTAAGAGAGAAAGTCAACTTGCTCCCATGAATGGCTCTTGTATAATTTATTTAACTCTGTGCTCTTTGCCAAAGCCTGGAATATTTTTAGCTCGTTCTGTTGTTGGATTTGGCTTTTTTATGTGTGTTTCTGAGGGGTATTTTTAGCTTCATCCATGTTATTCTAACAACCTCCTATGCGTTTTTTGTCCTGTCTGTGCAGGCTGTTGAACCCTGTCTCACAGGGAGCCGAGGGAGATTTCTAAGAATAACTGGGGAGTGTTTGGGGGTGCGGTGTTTTCCGGGGGAGATGTGCACCACTCCTGCCTCGGCCACCAATTTGCCTCAGAGCTCACGTGACCTGGATATTCCAACGGAGAGCCCAGTGTTTCCCTATAGGAACAATCAGAGTTGGTGGCAGCTCAGGCCCCACTGAGAAAAAACCCACATTCCAAAAACAGCTTTGGTGGAGCGGGCGCGGCTGCCACAGCCACCCCAGTCTTTGCAGCCGCCAGATTCCCGGATCCCTGCGGCTCCGTTGGGCACAGCGGCAGCTTTGATGTCTAGGTCTGTCACTTATGGAGCTGGGTGGGTAGAAGCTCGGAAAGTAACTCTTTTCACACCTACTTAATGTTGGTAACTGCTGCAGAGACACTATCGTGCAGTGGAGTTAATGAGGTATTTACGAAAATGTATTTTTTTCTTACCAAAAAAAAAAAAAACCCACGTGATGGGTGGGACACCTTTGGTGGGGTCTTTTTTCACAAGAAAAAATTTTTTAGTATATGAGGCTAGGTGGAGTTTGGGTGGTTGTTTTATTATTTTACTTTAGAGACTGGTCATCCAAAGCACCTTTAACAGGAACTAGGTTGGCAGTCTTACTCCAGAAAGAGCCTGCCTGAATGTCCCCCATTCTCCCCCAAAGCTGCCGCCAAGACACAAGGCTGCACAGGCCAAGTTAAATCACATCCCAAAGCCAAAAGAGGTGGAGACAGTCCAAAAAGAGGATTCACACCAAGAAGCGAACCAGCCCCTTGGTGGAGCCCCAGCCTTAGGGGGGACTCCAGGAGGACAGGACAGGAGCTGACCCAGCCGGAAGGGGGGAGGGGCAGGCGAGCACACAGCTCCAAGTTTCTCCCCGGGGCCAGCTGCCTCCTGATTAAACCAGTGTCTGAGGAGAGGAGAGATCCCCCAAGCAACTCTAGGCAGTGAGACGGAGGAGAAAACATAGGTTGGTTCGTGTTGATTTTCCTTTTTTTGTGTGTCCCTCCATCCCTAGATCTCACAGCTTTGCCTCCGGACCATCTGTATTAAAGACAAAAATCTAACACTGCACTAAAAATAATGGTTCCAAACATTTTAATTGCACCACTCAGTGACAAGGTTAAGGGAACAGCGCTTTACCATAAACCGCACAGCTCGAATATAGAGGCACTTTCATTTTTGGAAAACAATGGAAGGAGCCTGGGAACCCAGCATCCCCACCCCCCTTAGGGTCCCACAGGCAGACAGTACCAGGCGGGAATGAAACAGGGCGGCAGTGGGGAGACCCTCAGCCCAGTCTGAGCAGTTGCGCCTGACCGGGCAGGTGGGGAGAGCACGCCATACAAGGAAGCTGTTCCTGGGAGCCGGGGGCTGCAGCCTGGATGTCTGCGCCCTACACACCAGGAGGAATCTTCTCTAGCAATTTTGCTTTCAGCTCAGCAGTTGGGGCAGGGAGGGGCAGGCTGGACTGCTGCAGCCTTGGCCTCTGGGCCAAGGCCATCCACAGAGAGAGGGAGAGAGTAAGAGAAGGTGGCCATTTGGAAATCTGCACACAAAATCCACACAAAAGATCCAAAGACAGATTCCCTAACTTCACCCCACCTTTTTCCTTCTAAATGAAGACCTACAAAGACACAAACTAAAGTACAGAGATCTCAAGAATAACTCGTTTTTTTGGGTTTTTGTTTGTTTGTTTGTTTGTTTTTTAAGTACATGTAGCAAGATTCTAAAAGTGAATACGAAATCCTGGCTATCCTGGCTCTTAGCAATTGCAAAAGGCTTCCAGCCCCACACAGCCCAGCCAGGCTGCAAAATCACAACCAAGTCCAGGATCTCCAAACACAATAGGTTCCTCTGGGCCCCAAGGGGATGGAAACTGGGCCTTCAGAAGCAGAAGACGCTGAGCCCTACAGCACTCAAAGAGGGAGCCCTCTAAGGCCCCAGTGTATGAGGAAGCAGGAAGGGTGTGGGGTCACAGACTGGGACCCTGGTGCAGTTTCTCACAGCTCTCTGTGGCCTGTAGTCCAACAACCACGTGCTCCAAGTTAGCATGAGCAAGACAAAGGTCCAGGCCACTTGGAGACATTCCCACCTGACTGGGTATTACCTATATCTGGAAATAAGGGCAGAATGAAGGAAATGGCTGCTGGCTGGGCTGTGGGCCGGTGAGTGGGGTCAGGAGTCAGCAGTGACCTGAACGGATGGGAACTGGGCTTGGCCTGGCTGCCCCAGGGGGCACAGCCCCAGCCAGCTTGGGCACTACTGTGGAAACCTGCTCTACACAGCACTGTGACCTACCAGCCCCGAGGGCACTGCACACTGGGTGAGGAGGGCAGAGAGGCTTTCCTCTCTGTTCTTCAACCCTGCAGACTCAGCCTGCCCAGACAGGAGCTGAGACAGGACAGCTGGGGGAAGCTGGGCACTTGTCCTTGCTGCAGCGGCCACCATGTCAAAGCCCACCCTCTGTTCCCCAGTGGCCCTGAGAGGACAGCGTCTCAGGGCTGTGGTGAGAATAGACAATATTAGCACAGGGATATCGGGAAAGATATTTTAAAATCACCAATCGCTCGGTCAAGTACTTTTCTTTCTCTTTCCAGTTATAAATCCAGAAGAGAAAAAAATAGAAAGAAAAAGAAAGCAGTTTACGGAGAAGAGAGCACAGCCTCCCAGAAGCTCCAGCTGGAAAGGCAGTGTGGAGCTGACCCCGCAGGAGGCTGGCCACGCTAGCCCAGGGCTGCTCACTCGGAACAACCTCGTGCTGTAAAAGCTGGAGGCCCTTTAGTAATTAAGCAATTTCAAGTTTGTTTGTTTGTTTTAAAGGAAATGCATTTTTTTCTTTTTGACTGCCTTCCCTCGCAACATTTTATTTTCCCTTCTAGCCCCGTTCTTGCCATCCGTTTTAATCCACACACTAATTGTAATCCCATTAAACCAGATATAATTTTATTAGTATTCATGGTTCATCAAGCTAATAATAATAACCGTTACTGCCAAACTGAAAAAGAAAAGCAGCAAATGGTATTTCTGATGTTTAGAATAAACTGTAAACAAAAGCGAGCCGACCTGCGAGAGTGACCCAGTAACTGGTCCACGTGCAGTTCCTCGGGCTCCCCCAGCTCCACCCACGCCGGTCAGTGACAAACCCGCGAGCTGCGGCTTCCCTCCAACAGACTGGGTCAGCGCTACCCAGAACAGACCCTCGGGGAGGGGAACACAAGGAACTGCAACGCCAGGGCTGGTCAGGACAACTCGGGTCTGTCCTCTTGAAGCCCAAGCGCGCAGACTCGCCTGCACCGAAATCCCGAGCGAGGCGCCTCTCTGAGCTCTGCGGTGCGGCATGCGCGGTCCGCACTCAGGCCACGCTTACTCCGGCGTTAGCAAGATACCAGAGGCACTTGTTAAAGTGCATGCATCCCCTGCAAACCCATTCTCGCCCTGACACTTCAAGGCTTTATATAGAAACAGGATTTTCTCGTCTTACACTAGCAGTTCCCATTAGCGCTCCCGGGGCGCACACCACTCTAATCCGCGGGCCCGGCGCGCCCTGGCCCCCTCCCCCAGCCACACAGTCGCCGTGTCCCCCGCAGAAAGCGCCACGGTGTCTCAGACGCACAACGTCTTAACGAGGTGAATGCAGAACGCAGAAAGGAGGCTTCCGCAAGAATTTACTTCTGCAGTCAGGGGTGGGGGAGGGTGGCTGCCTGCTCTCGGGCTGCCCTGAGAGACGCAGGGCAGCCGGGGGGAAAGGCTGCTGCAAGCCCGTGGGCTGGCAGGATGCGCGGCCCGCCCGGCGCGGCGCTGCGCTGCGCAGGGAAATGAAACCAAAGCTCCGAAGAGAAAACTGCTCCAAGGAGCGGAGGGGGCCGGCGCTTCTCGCACTCGCCACTGCTGCCAGCTGCGGCGGGGGGCTGGGCA